TGTCCTTTTTTTTTTTTTTTTGCCTGCAGTGTGAATAAACAAAAAAAACAAAAAAAACAAAAAAATCACACATGCCTGTGCTGCCCCCTATCCACAACAGAAAGCTAGGGATCTCCTCTCAAGATATGCAGTTAGAATAAAATCCCTTGAATTCCAATGCAGCTTCTATTCTGAATTACTGTTAGAACAAGCAGGGTCCAAGGAAGTCCCTCCATCATGAGGACAAGTGGGGAAAAACTTAACTTTTTCAGCCTGTCTTGCATCTTCAGTTCTGCTTCTAGACCCATGTGAATTTAATAAACCTATAACACTGTATTTAAACATTGGGGGAAAGCTTCAGAAATGGTATGGACAAACACAATTTTAGCTGCTTTAAAAGGGGAAGGGAGCTGCTGTTATGTTACTTCTGCATGATCCTGTAGGAATACAAGTGAACTAATTATCCTAACCCAGCTTCATTCATGGCAAAGTTAAAGCTGGAGTAGTTTGCTACACCTGTATCACTACAAGCTCATGAGTCATAACAACCTGCATTTAACAGCCTGCATCAGTATGCTTTAATGTAGCTGCAATTGTTCCACAGATCTATTCCTAAAATTAGTAAAGGAGAGAAGAAAAATTGGATACAGGATTAAATCTTGACTTAAGTAACTATTTAAGCTTCTAAGAAGCTTGTAAGTGAAAGAACCTAGTTTACATTAAAATCAATTCACCTTTTAAACTGGAGCAAAACAATGAATGCAGGCCACTCAGGCTGCCTCCACACAAGCGTGGCTGTTTGTTGCTGCCACTCTTTGTCCCCAGGCAACACCTGGGCCATGTGCCCTCTGGCAAGTGGCATGTTACCCCAGGTGGGTAGGGGATGCTGGGGCCAGCACTGGGCTGACCCCAGCAACCTTACTTGTGGTCCTGGGGCTGCAGCAGTGATGATCCTGCTGCTTGGATCCTGGCTGGCAGCTGGAGTGTACCTCCAGCCAGCCAGGCTCTGGTTTTGGGTGGTGTGTGCTAGCCCTGAGTATACCGCTCTACTTTTTTTTTTTTTTGACCCGGGGAGATCCCAGTGTCAAACCCTCCCACCAGCCCTCCCCACACTCACTATACAGCTGAATGTGTGGTTTGCATACCACACGGCTGCGTTAGTCTGGATACAGACTCAGAATACAAGCAGCTCCCACTTCTAAATGTTTTCCCCTCAATGCTTGATAAACATTTAAGACGCACTAAAAAATTGTGTCTTTATGAAGTTCTGACTGTTAAAAGTGGTCTGTCTTTTTGGCTGATCCAAATTCAGCTATAGCAGGCAGTCTTACAGAAGTGTAAGAGCAGGAAAAAGTCACTCACCCGTGCCCGATGTCTCCGGACTTTACTGATTTGATCTGCTTTTGCCTCCATTCTTCCCACCAGTGCCTCAAGCTCCCTCTCCAGGTCTTCCCTGAGGGCAATGGTTGGAGCTTCCTGGATTAGCTTTGTTAGCTGCTGATGATCACTTCCATGTAATTTAACGACAGAAAAAAAAAAGCTTAGGTCAAATTTAATGTTGCTACGCTTACGTGCTTATGTCTCTACAGAGACACAATATCAGCAACCAGAAAGAGTTTCAGTCTTTTATCTGGTTTTGTATAACAACAACTGGTTTGCAAAGCTCTTGCTGGTAGTTAGTAGTATTACAGGAAGGCATGCCAGTAGCTCATTCTTGCTGTACTGGCTGGCTGTTAAAAATACAGGTTTGTTTGAACTCAAATACTGTTAGGTTAGGATGATACAAGTAGCCTCTTCCAGGCATAGTCTGAACCTTCAGGGAGCTGTTTAGAAAGCCCAAGTTCTCCCTCTACACTTCCTTATTCCATTTATATGAGCTACTGGTATTTTAAGTCTGGGCTCCTACAGATGCTGGGAAGACCACAGAAACTGAAAACAAGAGCCCTAAAAGGTAGTCTTATTTACTTAATTGTCTGCTGTGCAATGAATGATGAGAAATGGAGCCTGGGGGAGCAATCCCTTAAGTCTGGTACTGCTGTAGGCAGGTACAATTAGCAAAGTAACTGCAGCATAGAATAATCAAAACTGAGTGCTAACACTACAGAGGGGAAAGTTGGTCTCTACTTTGCAGCAGTTGGAAAGAACTAAACTATCCACCATTAACATGGTTCCAACCCC